GAGGGCCGAGCAGTGGAAAAGTGGAGAAACTGGAGAGGGTTGGACTGTAATGCATGGGTCCCCTTGGGCGAAGGCAAAGGAAAAATGAAAGTTTAAGTTGTCTTCTTGGTTCTTTCGGTAAAGTCACGTAGAAGGGAAATAATAAAATAAAAAAATAAAACATAATAAAATATAATTCTCACGACGTTTCGGCCACAACGCAAGCAGCTGTCCTCGGGTGCTTGCGTTGTGGTCGAAACGTCGTGAGAATTGTATTTTATTATGTTTTATTTTTATTATTTTATTATTTCCCTTCTACGTGACTTTACCGAAAGAACCAAGAAGATGAATCCCTGCAGTCACGAAAGCTTTAAATCGAAATTTAAGTTTTGTACTTAAAGAGTGAGATGGAGTTAATATTATAGAACACTTTGGGGCGCGGGGGCTGAGGAGACATCTTAGACAGGAGGGGCAGCAGAAGAGAAGAAGTGACCACCTGCAAACTGGATGTAAACTGCGGGCTTTGCCAAGAAATCATGGGCCAATTGGTGGGTGGATTCGCAGTGGAGTTGGAGACTATGTGTGCAGTGTGAAATTGATAAAAAAATAAATTCCCAAACAGGGCCGTCATTAATTATTAACATTTTTAGCCATGTCAATTGACTGGTGAATAAAGAATTGCCCATGCCATCTTGGTCGGGGGAGTCGTTTGACCATATTTCACCGTTTGTTTAGTTTGTTGTCCTTCCCCCGCACCTCCGATTAACACGGTTGGCTACGTGCAGTGCAAAGTACTCGTTTGATCAATTCCAGAGCGATGACGGTCAACATCAACACCGGGGCAGATGTAGATGGTCGAACGCGCGTGGCGCTTACCACCACAGCAACATCGCGCCCCCCCCCCCCTGCCTCCCAGTGATCTGCGGACCTTAATAGGGGCTCACCAACAGCTGTTCCCTACAGAACGTTTAAAAAGGCGTTGCGAGTCGAAGGGTGCTCCGTGAACAAACGGCGCGTGCCTGCGCACGCACGCACGCGCCGTCGGCCCTTATTTAGGAGCTGGCTTTCGAGCGGGGATAATAACGGCGATAAATCAGAACACGCGGCCTGCGCCTGCAGTCTGCGTGCGAACACAGCCGTGCTGTGCATGAACTCAGCTGTGCGCACACGCAGGTGACGTGCGCCCCGAGGCAGCGCGTTCACCGCTTGTTGCAGAGGTTCGTGGTTCGACCCCGAGCGGCCGCCCCGGTTATCACCGCGGGTGTAATAACCACGATAATACCAGGGTCAGGATCGCACCCACGACCTCCTGCATTACCAGGCGAGGGAGTTAACATCTCGTCAAAGAGACGCTGCGCGCCGCGGGAGTAGAGTCGAGGATGTAACGAATGGCGAAAGAGCGAGGAACGGGAAAAGGAAGGGAAAAGATAGAGAACGGTAAATAGGAGGAAAAGGATGCAAAAAGAGAGGAGAAAAAGGGGGAGCCGAGGGTCAGGAGAGATGAGGATATGAAGGAAGAAGCTGCATCAGGGCCTCGATGCTGCTGCATTGAGCGGCGTCCGTTTCCACAGTGCGTGGTGGCGGGGAGAGGCGAGGGATTTGGCTTGGCCACACACAGAAATCACGTGACTTACGGGAGGCTTCAGCTGATTTCGGAGACGTAGGAGTGGTTTATTTCATCTCTACCAGTTTCTCGCTTTTTAAAAAAACCAGATGATTCGCATCGTGTGCAAAGGGCATCGTGGCGTTTGCGATATGCCCCAGAGTTTGGTGATGAGAGACATCACTGTGTGTGTTTTTTAAGCGGGGGTGGACAAACACTTTGGGAAAAGCAAACATTGTCCGGAAACAACACGAGTACCGGGCCACGCGCGTCAAACCACGACGCGCGTCCCAGCACGCGAGGCAGGCGGAGCGGAGAGACCCCGCGAGTAATAGAAGAGAGAGGCTCACGCACCCGTCAAGTTCACTTTTTTGAGGCAACGGGCTTTTCTCTCACGTACACGTATGTTGAACTTCTTTCACACCGCACGTAGCCGACTGCACTAATCGTAGCCACCAAACCAATCATAAGACCCCGACGTACGTACGCGTGCAGACCTACGGTCACACCACTACTGGAAGAGGGTCTCTTCCCCATACATTGTGTGGATCCTGGTGGGTTATTTGACCATACTTTACCGCAGTCAATCGTCACTGCGGGTTTGTGAAGCTGAACGGGGTGGGGTTAGTTGGGGCGGAGCACAGATGTGGAATGACAGAAGCACAGTCCAACTTTAGATGTTGATGCACTGCCGTCTGCTCCCCACAACGTAGCCATGCACCCTGTCACCTGTTTGGGCATCGTGGTCACCCATCAAAATGCTATCCAGGCTCAAGCATGCTTGGATTTTGAGATCCGATGGGATTGGGCGTATTCCTTCCAGGTTAATTTGGTTGTAAGCCAGACAAAGACACAAAAAACAGGACTCTGACCCACGATATCTTCACAAAACAATGACACACTGATGCACCCTATGCTCGCTGACACACTGACCCTGGTACTCAAGACTCTGCTGCACAGATATTTGACACAAAGCTTTTACACAAGCACTTGACACACACTTTGAAAATTCAACACGTATGTTTGGGGCCGTCCATAAATGACGTCACACACCTAGGGGGAGGGGGGGTCAGACATTTGTGACGAGGGGGGGGGGTGAGAAATGTGACGTCACATCAAAATGCGCAACTTTAAATAAAGATAGAATTGTTAAATCAACACTAATTTTGATTAATTTTCATTATTAACTATTTGATTATTTTAATTTACTCATGTCACCTTTTATTTATTCCATGAAGGAGCATTTTGCTTCTCCATGGGGGAATGGAGAAGCATAAATTTTGAACATTTTTTTAATGATTATTATTAAACATTTTGATTCTAATGATTCTACCAGGGCTTTTCATTGTGGAATGAATGTGATTGTTATAATTGTAATCTGCATTTTGCTTCGTTCTACTACAAGTTAAGTATTTTTATACTCAAAATTACTTTTAATATTGTATAATTATAAGATAATTTCAATATAATATTCTGAACATCTGCAGTTTTAGTTAGACGTTTAATATTTTCAAGTGAATGTTATGCTAAATTTAAGCTTTCCAACGCCTCCTTTTTAATACATGTTTTCTCCTACAACATCAGAGTGCAGCGCCACATTAAATGCGCACTACAATGACAATAGTTTAAAGCGATTTGAAGCATGTTTTATTTTCAAAATGGAAATATGGTTTTAGGGGGGGGGGGGCAGAGCTTTGTGACGTCATATTTGAGGGGGGGGGGTCTGACTTTTTGTGACGCCGTGTGACGAGGGGGCGAGGGGGTCAAAAATGTCCAAAATCGCGTGACGTCATTTATGGACGGTTCCTTTGTATATCACTTAATGAAAGCAGCCACACATTGACAAGGACTCCCCTTAAGCCTGATGGGAGTGCTGCTGGATGGAGCAAGTGTTGTCGGCGAGTGCCTATTAAGGTTGGTCGTGCCTCACAAACCATGGCAGATGTGGATACTTGACGATGATAATGATGCACAAATGGATTTTTTTTTATCTCCGGTGTGCAACTGTGGTCCCCCAGAACGGACTGTGGAACATAACGCGACTCAATACCAGATTCAGAAAGACGAAGCAGGAAGCATCAGCATCACAGCAAAGAAGCACCACTACTCCTGACGCAATCGCCTGGCTCATCATCCACCACATTGTAACATTATAGTCGTTGATCTAAATCCACATCAGCCAACGGAAGAAGCCCCTCCGATTAGCACGACTGAGCTACGTACGGTGCGAACAAAGTTCAACATACATACAAGCAGGCGGAGTGGTTAGCACCATGCGCGCACAAGTCACTTTGGGTCTATTACTGATGTTAGGTTTAATTAAACCACAACCACTCTACATACGATGCTCAGGTTAGGCGGAGTCAACGTAGGGTCGCGGGGTGGACTCCATATCGGTTCCGATAGCAATTTACACAGATTCTGTGCATGACCAGAAAATGAAATCCGGTTTTGCGGGACGGTAGTGTAGTGTACTGTACAAATCACACCACCACAACACCACGAATACAACACCAATACAACAACACTCCTCACCACTAATACAGCACCACTCCTTACCACAACACCACCACTCCCCACCACTAATACAGCACCACTCCTCACCACAACACCACCACTCCCCACCACAACACCACCACACCACTAACACAACACCACTCCCCACCACATCACCACTAATAAAACACCACGAATACACCACCAATACTGACTATAACACCACTCCCCACCACATCACTACTAACACAACACCACTCCCCACCACACCACTAACAACACCACTCCCCACCACATCACCACTAACACAACACCACTCCCCACCACATCACCACTAACACAACACCACTCCCCACCACATCACCACTAACACCACTCCCCACCACATCACCACTAACACCACTCCCCACCACATCACCACTAACACCACTCCCCACCACCACACCACTAACACCACTCCCCACCACCACACCACTAACACAACACCACTCCCCACCACCACACCACTAACACAACACCACATCACCACTAACACAACAGCACTCCCCACCACAACACCGATTGAAAGTTGGCCTAGGACCCAACCACCCGGAACGCGCCCAGACCTCGCAAGCTCAGCCGGTCTGGGCCTGTGCGTCGCTTGGGGTTTGCGACCAGCTACGTACGGCGCGAAAGAAGTCCAACATTCACGCGTACAGCCGGCACTGGCCAGCATGGCAAGGTCAATAACCCCTCCGCGACCCGCAACTGCGTGGGGGAGGGGGTCGCTCATCCATCCATCAGTGGATTGACCGATACGGAGCGGTGGCTACTACTACAATACTAACTGTGCGCATATGCACAGCGCGAGTTGGACTTTTAAATGGAACAGCGAAGGGTTCGCGTGCAGCAAGAGGAGGGGAGTGGTGGCGGTGCGACTCACATCGCCTCCCCTCGTGTCGTCTCCAGCGCCTCCCCTCGTCGCCTGTGCTCCAAGTCGCGGTCGTCTCGTCGTCTTCCCCCACGCGTCTCCTCGCCACTGCGTTTCGTGAGCGAGTGGGAGCGAGGCGCCCAGATTTTAAACGGATGCGGGGGGGGGGGAGAAGGCGGGGAGGGAGAGAGGAGGAGGGCGTGCAATGATGATGTGGAACGGTGGCGCAGTGGTTAGCGCAGTGCGCTGCGAACATCGCGATCCGAGTTTGACTCCCACTCACGGCTTGCGCTGATGATGTGGAGCGGTGGCGCAGTGGTTGGGGCAGTGCGCTACGAACCCTGTGATCCGAGTTGGATTCCCACTCACGGCTTGCGCTGATGATGTGGAGCGGTGGCGCAGTGGTTAGCGCAGTGCGCTGCGAACCCCGCCACCCGAGTTGGATTCCCACTCACGGCTAACGTCTGTGACGTATATCTGAACCGGTTCTGGGCTCTACCCTAGGTGGACTCAACCTTTAAATGAGTACCCGGTGCGGTGTATAAAACGTCGGAATTTAGGGAGACAAAGGCGGCCGGGCGTGCTGCTGGTCATCCACCGACTCGTGTTCCGTGCCGGTATTCATAGGTTCTCGCTAGCAACACTTGTCCCAAACTGGTCTCTGGGGCTATAGGGTGTGGTAGGGGGCATATTTGTCTTTGTAATGGTGTGCGCGATGGGAGAGTGTCTGATGATGAGTGTGTTCATGACCGTGTGTGGGACGTCGTGTGTGCGTGGGGGAGGCTCGTGAAGGACGCTGATGCTGCTGCTACTGGGCAGTTGGAGGCAGTCGCCCTCCAGCAGCAACAACGGAGGGCAGAGCGACAACAACGAGCGGCTAAGATGCTGCCGAGTTGGCAGAGTAGGGGGGGGGGGCACAAGCTGGGTGCATCTGCCAGCCATCTCGGTCAGTCAACCCGTGGCACCTGGGTCTGTTCCGTGACCTCCTGCTAGCGGGCGTTCGACACTTCACGTGACCTCAAGGTGCACATGGCCTGGCACTTAGTGGAAAAATGGCGTTTTTTTGTCAGTTGGTGAATGAGACGGTGCGAGTGATTGTATGCGTGTGATGATATTGAGATGGTGCAACGCAACACATTCCTGCGGAGGGAGCTGGTAGGAACGTTGGGTTGCTCGGTCAATGGCCAGGGTCAACGGCGGCGTGCTGTATTCCGCAAATATGCCCGACTGTGAGGGCGGGCATAAGCCGGCGTGAGTAGGTTAAACGTTGAGTTTTATAAGGGCACCAAGGGGTGACCAGCCCCTCCCCACCCAGCCCCACCCCTCCCACCCCCTACCCAGCCCCACCCTCCCCACCCAGCCCCTCCCCATCCTCCTCTCCCCACCCAGCCCCACCCTCCCCACCCAGCCCCTCCCCACCCAGCCCCTCCCTCCCCACCCAGCCCCTCCCTGCACGACGGACGGACACAATAATCCCCCGTGGACTGGTGGAACCAGTGGGTTCCTACCAGTAGTATTGAGTGTGTATGGATGAAGAGCGAGTGATGGGATGTGTGGATAGAGGGTGTGTGTGCGTATGATGCATTGCAGAGTGCGTATGATTGCTGGCCCATGAGCTTAGAGACAGATATTTCACTTGTCGTTACCACCTGGGGTCCCATAACTTTCACGGTTCCAATTTCTTTACGACCAATAACGGTGAATTGTGCCGTAGCAATTTGAAATGAGTGGGGTTACCCAATTACGCGCTCTTAATCAGCATGTCAACTCATTGAAACTAAAGTTTTGCGAGCTCACGTGGCTATCGATTCTTGCTCCGGCCCATGCGTGTGTGCATGACGGTCAGAATCAAAATCTTTATTGTATACCGGCAGGATCCGATGAGCTAGAGAGCTTTTCTTTCGCTCTCACAAATATCCAGTAGGGACGTGTCTGAACGTTACAACAAATAAAAAAAACACGATATGAGTTCAAAGTATAAGGGGCCGTCCATAAATGACGTCACGCACCTGGGGGGGGGGGGGGTCAGACATTTGTGATGTGTGACGAGGGGGGGGGGGGTTGAGAAATGTGACGTCACATCAAAATGCGCAACTTGAAATAAATATAGACAACACGTTCTACTTCATTAAATAGACTTTTTAATAAATGATTTCTCCTACAACATCAGAGTGCAGCGCCACATTAAAATACGCACTACAATGACAATAGTTAAAAGCGATTTAAAGCATGTTTTTTTTAGAGGGGGGACAGAGCTCTGTGACGTCATATTTGAGGGGGGGGGGTGTCTGACTTTTCGTGACGCCGTGTGACGATGGGGGAGGGGGGGGAATCAAAAATCGTCCAAAATCGCGTGACGTCATTTATGGACGGCCCCAAATGCGGATGGGCACACGCAACGGAAGTAGTCACACGCACGGAGCAGTAAACACGCCAACGCAGCGCCAACGCTGGCACGTGATTGGGACCGTTGGGCCAACGTTCCGTGTTTACTGGCTCGTCCCTTACCTGTTATTTGGCTAAATGTGGATGTTTGCCTTTGTTGTGGCAACGTATGTTTGGACTTGGAGATGACCAATACCAGCGGTGTCAAGATCGGCCTCTGTGGAGGAGGCTCGTGAAGGACGCTCCTGGACAGGTGGAGGCAGCCGCCCTCCAGCAACAGCGGAGGAGCGACGCTCACAACAACGAGCGGAGTGCTGGGCCAGTAAATCGCAGCAAGTTGACGCACTAGGGGCGTAGGCGGTGCATCTCTGCCAGTCGTCTCGGTCAACTCACAGCACCTGGGTCTGTACCGTGATCTCCTGCCAGCAGCAGCGAGCCTCTGACACTTCAGGTGATGGCCTCAAAGTGCACCTAGCCTGGCACAAGCGCTGTAGTGACGTCAACACCACGTCGGAGCGAAATGTGGCTGCTATTGTGCGTGGGATTTACGCGTGATGGAGTGTGCAATTACGTACTTGATGGAGTGTGCGACTGTGTTGGCATGTGTGAGCGATGGAGTACGTTTGCCAAAATGTAATGTAATACGTAATTGTGATGGTGTGTGTGTGTTAGTGTGCATGTCATATTGTTTCACCGTAATATCCGTGCCTGGCCACGCAAGTTAAATTCCCGCTCTTGACCAACACCAGTGACGAATATCTAAACAGCTCCTGTGCCTCGTCGAGATTGATTCAACCTTATTTTAATACCTGCTGCAATAAACATCAACACTGGGGAGACAAAGGCGGCCGGGCGTGGTGCTTGCCATCAACCACCTCGTATTGCCATTCCGGCCTTAACAGCACTTGCCCACCCAACACTCTCTTAAGGCCATACGGGGAGAGATACGGCATGTGTTTGTGTGATGGAAGGGTGTGTGCCGAATTGAATGTGCGCGCGTGTGATTTTGTGTGTGCGTGTAACGGCGCGTATGATGATGTGATGGATTGCGCACGTGTGCGCTAGCGACGGGGCGTAGGTGCTGGAATGTGTACGTGCTAGACGACTGTGTGCGCGAGACGAAATATATCTTAAACAGCGCTCGGTCCTCCCCGATGAGACCAAAGGAGGTGGGGGCTTTCCTTTGTTGTGGGTACGTCCGTACATGATCGAGTGCAAGCTGAAACGCCAGTGCAGTGCGCGCGCGATTGAGGGTGCACGTAGATTATTTTTGCACGCTTCCATGACTGTGCAATCGCCACTGCATGTTTGCAGAACGTGTGCAGCATTTGTGCCTGCCTATGGTTGCACGTTTTGTGTTTGGCAAGTGGTGTGCGTGTGGCAATGTTTATTAGGTGGTTGCTACCAACAAAATGCCGTGGCCTTTAAAGTTATACCGGGAATTCTTGGATTTGTAAATTGGTGGCAGAGTCTGCGCAAGGAGGAACCACAGAGAAGTGGGAAGTCAGTCGCTCGATGAGACGGCGCCAACAATTGCCAAAGCTCTCGGGTCCTCGATATATATTAAGGTGCTGTGGGCCAATTAACGAGTGTTTTATTTGTGGGAAGAACCAGGACCTGGAGAAAACCAACGCGTTCAAAGGGGGGAAACGCTATCCCAGAGGCGGAACAGGTGGGTCCACTGTTGCTTAACCTCATTCTCCTCGACGCCAACGGAAGTTTAGCAACATTTTTTTCGATCCACCAACCATCGCCTCCAGTGGGCGCACCGGTGGCTAGATGTGAACTACCTCGCCTGGTATGCAGGAGCTCGTGGGTTTGTTCCCGACCCGCTGTATATTTGGAGTTTGCATGTCTTGGTGGTCGCGTGGAATTTTCTCCGGGTCCTGCGGGTTTTCCTTCCACATGTAGACTCAACATGCGTTTAGAGTATTTTACTGTTATACATTTCCACGTAAGCCATTTCGTTGACCTATCATTTGTGGCCAGGTGGCTTCTGAAAAAAAGCTATATAACTAAGTGGGCCTTAGCTATCAAAATAAAAAGTTATAGTTCATGCATTGCAGACCATGTGCATAATAGTAACCACCACTGGTTGGCATCTGTAGGGATATTTCCAATGTTGTGATTAATGTGTATATATATTTTCATTTTAAGGCCACAGTGTTTACAAATGTGTTGAGTATTTGTAAATCTTGCTTGCTGCACCACTGCCAATCCAGCAGCATCACAAACTAGTTACTAACGTCACTTACGCACTTTTCCCGATAAAAGTGGCTTCACGTGGCATCGGATCACATCACTATTGTTCGCAGACTAGAATATGAAGTCGATCCAAAATATATACGAAATGGTCCTTAGAAGTCGAAAACTGATTCTTAGTATCCAGGCCTGTTGCGTATTAACATCGGTATTGAGACCCGGGCAGCTGTCTGCAGTGTAGAGCTGGGTGAAAACGTCTGTGTTTGGCTTAGCATGCGTGCCAGCAGCCACAGGGGCCTCAGACTTGCTGCACAGATATCAGTTATTGTTGAGCGGGAAAAAAGTTAAAACAATAACAAATTAAAGCCATGGGAAAAATACAAGACACGTGTAATTGTTATACTTGAAATTCACTGCACATGTATACGCATGTGTATTCACGTGTGTACAAAGACCCCCCGTATAGCCTAAACAGACTGTCCGGGCAAGTGCTGTGAACGAGCACAGATGAAGGCCGGCATGGCACACGAGGTGGTGGGTGGCCAAAAACCATGGCCGGCCGCCTTTCTCTCCCAAGTGGAGATCTTTAAAGTCGACCTAGGGTTGGCGGCTCAGGACCGGTTCAAATATTCACCAATGGTATCAGCCGTGAGCGGGACTAATTCGGGTCGTTGGGTTCATAGTGCAGTAAGCTACCTGCTACACTACCCGCTCCACGTGTGTACGCACGCGTAGACCACGGGACGCCAAACATGCACATATGGTGTGCACGCGCAGTGCAAGGGTGGTGTGCGTGTTAAGTGTGTGATGTTTTTGATACCGCGGCCACCTATACATCAGGGCGTCTCAGAGCACTTTGCATCACATCTCATCTCAATACATTTGAAAGGGCACTCCCAGTGACAGCCATCCCTGTGTGGCACAAGGCGCGATTATTGCCGTGTAATTTGTCAAGCGTCTTTGAGACATTTGCACACACACTGTGTAAGTGTAGGAGACAGGATACGATACCACGTATGTGCATGTGTTTGTGCTACAGTGGTTAGCACATTACCCTACGAACCCTGGCGACCCGTTTACAATTCCTAGCCACGGTCAACATCAGTGGCAAATGTCTGATTTGGTCCTAAGCCTCCCCGAGGTGGCATCAAACACGAGTACCTGCTGTGGTGTGTAAACATTAGCACCGAGTAGAAAAAAAAGCGGTGGGGGTGCGGGACTGGCCACACCACGCAACGACGGCCTGAGTCGGCACCCGCTAACAACATTTGCCACAACAGTTTGTAAAAGGTAAATGGTGTATTTTTTTTATTTGTCTTGGTTTTGCACATACACGTTTGTCTGTGTATGAGAGTGTATGCGAGTATATGCGTGGATATGTGCGTGGCTGTCTACATACAAGTGTATCTGCGTGTGATGCGGTGTATGTGCATGCGAGATTGTCTGCATATATACACGTGTGTATGCCTCTGTGTATTATATACGTGTGCGCGCGTGTGTGCGTGTTTATTTTTTGAATCTCTGCAGGGCCCCCCCCTTGGCCTCCGTCTCGTTGCTTTGTATCTTCTCTTTCTGTTTTTTCTGCTTTTCTTCCATAGAAGCCTTGATCGTCTCCTAAGGGGCAGCGTTCAAACAAAATTTTTAAATAAATAAGCAAAGGCTAGAGTTACAGTGTGTGAACGCAGCAACGCACACACGGCAATTATTTCCAAGGGAACACACGTTATCAGAGCCGCGAGGGTGAGTGTGATTGAGTGGGTTGGGTGAGTGAGTTGCTGAATGCGTGTGAGTGTCTAAGTGAGGGTTGCTGTCTGGAGGAGTGAGTGGCTGGGTGAGAGTGTGAGTGGCTCAGTGAAGTTGCGAGTGCGTCATTTTGTGAGTAGCTGGGTGACTGTGAGTGACTGGGTGAGGGAGTGAGTGGCTGGGCGAGGCTGTTAGTAGCTGGGTGAGTGAGTGGCTGGGTGAGAGTGAGTGACTGAGTGACTGAGTGACTGAGTGAGGGTGTGAGTGGCTGGGTGAGTGTGAGTGACTGAGTGACTGTGAGTGACTGTGAGTGACTGTGAGTGACTGGGTGAGGGAGTGAGTGGCTGAGCGAGGCTGTTAGTAGCTGGGTGAGTGGCTGGGTGAGAATGTGAGTTACTCGGTGAGGATGTGCGTGGCTGAGCGAGGCTGTGTGATCGTTACCCGTTTCTGTGTCCCCGCCACGATGCGTTTCCGAAGCTCGCGGTTGGCGGTGGAGCTGCGGCCCTTGGTGCGGAACCTCGGCTCAAACTTCTTGGGAGCTTTTGGGTCGAAACCCTGCACAGATAAGCACACGGGGCCAGGTGAGCACGCAACAACAACCGCCGTTCACCTACTAAGCTGGCGTTGACGTCACCGCGGCTCATGTGCTATGCTAGGTGCACTTTGAGGCCACGTGAAGGCCCGCTGGCAGGTCACAGAATAGACCCAGGTGCCATGGATTGACTGACTGAGACGACTAGCTGCCCGTTGCTCTGCTCATTGTTGGTGAGCACACAAAGACAAAGATCCCCTGTATAGCCTTGACAGACTGTTGGGGCAAGTGCTGTTAGCGAGTACCTTGAAGGCTCGCACAGCACACGAGGGGGTGGGTGGCCAGCACCACACCCGTCCGCCTGTCTCCCCAGTGGGTTTACACACCGCATCAGTAACTCATTTGAGGCCAAGTCGACCTAGGGTAAGCCCAGGCCCAGTTCAAACATTAGCAGATTGTTACTGGTAGGAACCTCCTGCTTCCACCAGCCCACTGGGGATTATTGTGTCCGTCCATCCGTCGTGCATCCAAAAATGGGAGGGGTGGGGCTGGGAGGGGTGGGGCTGGGTGGGGCTGGGTGGGGCTGGGTGGAGAGGGGCTGGGTGGGGAGGGGCTGGGTGGGGGGTGGGGCTGGGTGGGGAGGGGCTGGTCACCCCGTGGTGCCCTTATAAAACTCAACGTTTAATCTACTCACGCCGGCTTGTGCCCGCCCTCACGGTCGGGCATATTTGCGGAATACACCACGCCGCCGTTGACCCTGGCCATTGACCCGAGCAACCCAACGTTCCTACCAGTTCCCTCCGCAGGAATGTGTTATTGGTCATGAGTGGGAATTGAACTAGCGTCGCCGGGTTCGTAGCGTAGTGTGCCAATCACTACACGACCATTTACCACACAAAAACATACAACAAATATGTACACACAAGCAACTTACAAACACAGAAAAGACAAACATGTAACACTGATATACAATGCACACAAACACCCAATACGCACACAAACACACAGAACACACCTCCATGGAAACAAAAGCACACACAAATACACATACATAAAGCATACACAGCACATTCATACAGCACAAAGACAAAGATCCCCATTTGGGGCAAGTGCTGTAATCGAGCACTTATGAAAGCCGGCAAAGCAGACTAGAGGGTGGGTAACCAGCACCACATCTGGTGGTAATGTTTACACACCAACTAGATACTGATCTGAGGCTGAGTCGACCTAGGGGGGGGGCTAGGACCAGTTCAGATAATCATCACTGGTGTTGGCTGTGAGCGGGAATCAAACTTGGGTCGCCGGGTTCATAGCGCAGCACGCTAACCGCTACACTACCCACTACCGGTCCCCGCATCGCGCGCACACACAAAAGAAACACAGCAAATCTGCACGCAATGTTATAAACATAGAAATACAACCGACGGCCTTCACAGGGTATATTATCACGCCGCTGCAAATATTTATAGAGTTGAAGACATCAAGCCAAACGAAAAAAACACAACCATTCTTTTTAACCGATCAATAGACACTTATTTAACTCGCACATCCTGTTATAACTAGTCCTGTCAGCGAGCACCTATTCAAGACCGACAAGGGCATACAATGGGAAATTGTGACCAGGGCTGCTCTAAAACCACCTTTGTCTCCCCCATTGTTGACCACCTCCTCAATGCACTGGGCTTCTAATTTTAGGCTCGGTCAAACGAGCGGCAAATCAGGACCACACTTGACGAACCCTTCGCTCACGATGCGCACAGGCCACGGGTAGATTAGCACGCGTGTTGAGTCACGTGCGCGTACAGCCCTCGTGTCAATCCACTGCTGGATGAGTGCCTTCCCCATGAAGTGCTTGATCACAATACGCTGGTCAGCGTGGGATTGGTGGTGGTAGATGCGAGAGAACAGTCGAACCCCTCTTAATGACCACCCTCTGCTAACGACTAATCGCTTAACGACAGGTCTCCATAGAGCCTGATGTGGTCGCTTACAGACCATTCCCCTGTTAACAACGGGCGTATGTAGGGACATTAAATATTAATTAATGCATTAATTAACCATGTTTCTTTTAATATTATGTGTTTATAATGTTGTTAGTATTTTTATGTATTAATATACATTGCTTAAATATCACAAAGTAAAGTTTTTTGGGTGAAAAAGTGTAACTCTCAATGCTATCAGAACGAATTAAGCCTTTAGCGTGCATTTCCTAGACTCGCTTAACGACAAAATCACTTAACGACCGGTTTCGTGGAACCAATTATCGTCGTTGAGAGGGGTTCTACTGTACAACAACGGAGTTTGCTGTGCTGCCCTCCGCTGCCCAGCCCGTAGCCTCACAGAACATAACATTTGTTATGCATGGTGGTCACCCATCCCAGCACTACTCAAACCTGCATAGCAGCCGGGACCTTGATGATATCGAAGCGCGTTCCGAACGATTTTGTCACAAGCCGATATGCGCACCCAATTGCACATGTCAGACGTCACAGTGCACCACCGTGATGTTTGACGGGTAAGTTTAGTTCTCTACATGGCGTCGTCTCACAGTCGTTGAGAAATAACAGTCAAGCTTGGCACGTAGCAGCCAGGCGGTGAGTCGCTGCTACCATCGAACAAATTGCGTGTGATAATTGTTTTTTTACCCTTTTATCTGGCAACAAAACTGACACCTTTTTTTACAAGGAGTCATGTTTGCATTGACCACAATACCTGCGGTCGGAATGCAAACAAAAAACACAACTCTGATAATGTATGCACTGTCCTTGAAGTTGATTGGTCCACACCCGAGACAACTTTTCTTAGAGCCTAGTCTCACATGGTGTTGGACCAGATGACGCCAAAAGGCGCACAACTCCCCGAGCTCTCATACTCTGATGGTGCGTTGTCTTTGAGTTGTGCGCCTTTTGGCGTCATCTGGTCCAACACCATGTGAGACTAGGCTCTAAGAAAAGTTGTCTCGGGTGTGGACCAATCAATTTCAAGGACAGTGCATACATTATCAGAGTTGTGTTTTTTATTTGCATTCCGACCGCAGGTACTGTGGTCATTGCAAACATGACTCCTCGTAAAAAAGGTGTCAGTTTTGTTGCCAGATAAAAAGGTAAAAAACTAATGATCATACTTTTCTACTGGCAAATGAGGTTCCAATGGTGTAAATGCTTACCCCGAGCTCTCATACTCTGACGGTGCATTGTCTTTAAGTTGTGCGCATTTTGGCGTCATCTGGTCCAACACCATGTGAGACTAGGCTCTAAGAAAAGTTGTCTCGGGTGTGGACCAATCAATTTCAAGGACAGTGCATACATTATCAGAGTTGTGTTTTTTGTTTGCATTCCGACTGCAGGTATTGTGGTCTATGCAAAATGACTCCTTGTAAAAAGGTGTCAGTTTTGTTGCCAGATAGAAGGGTAAAAAACCAATTATCATATTTTGCTGCTGGCAAAAGAGGTTCCAACGGTGTAAATTTGTGTGCGATCCACCAACCCTTGCTGCCTTCACAGCGCTAGATTACAGGTCACGTGCGTAGCCACCACTGCGTGGCAGGAGGATCATGGAAATAAATTAGAAATGCACACAAAGTCCGATTATCCATGGACAATAAACATTTTTGATTGTCCATTGGCTTTAGGGCCTTTCGGACCAATGTACGTTCTATAATGTTTCCGTTTTGGCGCTGAACAAAAGGGGCCCCATTGTGAGCTATGGAGTGCTCTCACCGAAAACAGGCCAGAGAGTTTGCGTGCATAAACAAATTCTGTGGGACAACACTTGTTTAGAAGGCCTGTACAGACCCCGACGTTCAAAAACATAAACAAACGCATGAACACATCGTCATGTGTCGTGTTGTGGCATGTTGTCGTGTTGTCATGTGGCATGTTGTGGCATGTTGTTGTGTTGTGGCGTGTTGTGCACTCACCAGCCGCTGCACTCTTTCCGCGTACTTCGTTTCGAAGGAGGCCGTGTCCACCTTGCTCAGCATGGCCGGGTCCAGCGTGATGAGCTCCGGCTGAATCTGCACTCGGCATGCCAAACGCAAACCAATTAGCAAGGTTGGCTATGTACTGTGCGAACGAAGTTCAGCATACGTACATGCATGCATACAGGGGGAACGGCTGAATCTGCACTCGACTGAATCTGCACAGCACATACATTCACTGCACATACGTGGGGAATAGCTGAAGCTGCACACGGCAGACAAAACACAACCGATTTGCACGGTTGGCTATATACAGTGCGAAAAAAGTTCAACATACACACACATATATGGGGAGTAATGCTCGGGGGGACAGGCAAACATCGACATCCCCGTGTGGTGAGTGGAAGGACCGGAGACACCCGGTGGGGTCAGGGACAAGCCTGGAAAATCCCAGTGGCGAGGGGTAGAACTGGGAGAATCTCAGGGTGGTGAGGGGCAAGCCTTGGAGAATCTCAGGGTTGTGAGGGGTATGACTGGAGACACACGGTGTGGTGAGGGGTAAGTCTGGAGAATCTCAGAGTGGTGAGGGGTAAAGCAAAGCTAAGTATACGTAGTGGACGGTTGCATAAAACACCTGGGGTGGAATACTCCATTCTTTTGTTTTTTAAACAAAAGAATACGCCAAAGGTGCATGCCTGCAATTGCTTGTTCACACCACCGCTGGAGGAAGGGCGTCCACGAGTGAACTCTAAGAGGGTATTTGGTCTACTCTTCCACACTGACCAAACGTGTTGGAAGAGGTGGCGAGTACCCACACTTTACCCCACCGCGCACGTCCTGCAAATCGACTCGCTGCATTGTAGCCATCTACACCGTTGGGTGGACAAATGTGGGTGGGTTGACACTTGGGAGAGACAGATTGAAACGGTCTTGAGCAGAGGAGGAGAGGGAGGTCTTAGGCCAGGACTGGAAGGGGGACAGTTGGCAGTGTGAAGGGAAAACGGATGTTCAGTGCAGTCAGCCTCTGGCCCATTGGGACAGCTCACTCAGTCAAGCCACGTGCACATGCACACATGCCGCACGCATGTGCGCAGGCTTCTACCAATGCGCCTGTGCTTCTCTTTAAAATATAAATACAACGGCTCTCGAGTTACCAATAACAGCAAAAACGAAGTCACTTCCTACCACGTGTACACACAGACTCTCGGCGGTACAGCATGATAGATCATCGTCAGCCATGATCTATCCTACTGATAGATGAAGGTCTCTGCAAGCCGTTGCCCTCTCACATTGCGCAGGAGCTAGATGGACTGTTGCATTTCCTTCCAGTATCACAGATGCCTCATCACCACCATGTACGTAGGTATTCCCTTGCTCCCTACCCATTGCAACCTATTCTTCCTGCCACATTCTATTCAACAACCTCCAAGTTGCTTATCCTATCCTGCCATTAATATTCCATGGGGCGCCATGATAGCAAGATGTTAACTACCTTGCCTGGTATACATGAGGTCGTGGGTTCGATCCCAACCCTAACGCCCGTATATTTGGAGTTTGCATGGTCTCCCCAATCGTCATGTGGATTTTTATCCGGGTCCTTCGGTTTTTCCCTCCGCATTTAGAAACATGTGTTTAGAGTATTTGCCTACGATAAATTTCCACACAATAAGCCATTTCGTTGCGCTATCATTTGTGACCCGGTCACTTCTGAAAAATCAGCTCTATATATAAATGGGCCTGGTAAAATAAAAATAGTATGAGTAGTAGTGGTACTATTATCCCTGCCATGCGCTTATACTAACAGGATGAAATAATTGTGTCATAGTGTCTCTCCGTGAAAGCTTCGTGACGTTGCTCTAACAAGGCGAGAGCAGAACTCTTCCATAGCGAGCTCGCTGCATGCAGCAAACACGGTCGGGTGTCGGGTGGCCGCGTGGAGGGGATACGTGCCCAGCTTCGGCCGGAGCGGGGACTTCGCGCCAACGGAAAAGTACGCCGCCGATAAGGCGGGACGCAATCCCCCCCCCCCGCCCTTCAAATGGGCCGCCGGCGGGGGGGGGGGGCACAAGCGTGATAAGCGAAGGGGATCACGTAGTTGCGGTCAGCGCAGCTCTTACGACGCAGATAGAGCTAGCGCCTAGCCCGTCAAAACATCTCTGTTCGCAGAGAGTGCCTTCGAACGTTATCGCGACCTCACTCGGGCTTGCTGTGGAGCGATGGAACGTGGCTGTCGTCACCGCGTCGTGCAGTGAAATGTCAGCAGCAGTCACCGAAAATAGCTTCGTTAAGTTTGCAGCCCCTTGTCAAGCCACTGCTGGATGACGACCGGCGCTGCAGTGGCGAGTGTTAACTACCTCGCCTGGTATGCAAGAGGTCGTGGGTTTGATCTTGACCCAGATGCCTGTATATTTGGATTTTGCATTTCTCTCTCCCTGTGGTCACGTAGATTTTTTGCCGGGTCCTCCGGTTTTTCCCTCCACATTTAGAATCGACATCACGCGTTTAGAGTATTTGGCTGTTACTATACATTTCCACGTGATAAACCACTTAGTTGAGCTATTTCTTGTGGACCGGTCGCTTCTGAAAAATATCTACATAGCTCAGTGGGCCTTACCTGGTAAATTTTAGTTTTAAGTTTCGTGCCATGTTGGTCACGAATGAAGGTTGTTTGAACATTCTTCGCCACACTTGTTAGTGCAGGCTGGCGAAGGGGGTGATCCTGGGCCCGGCTTAAATATCACTCATCACTGATGTTAGCTGTGGCTGGGAAGTAAACTCACGTGGCCGGATTGACAGTGCACTGTGCTCACCACTGTGCCAGCACCTCACTGCTCGGGACCACAACAATAGTAATAATAATTGTATGTCATAGAAAACTTTCTACAAAAATGTGTTTAATGTATTGATAAATAGCATCGTCTTTCAGCCGACGTGCCTTTAAGAGAGGCGGTCCATTGCACAGGCGACACGGATGCAATTCGCTCTCTTTATGGAGTCATGCCCAGTTACAGACTGACATGGGATGTATAAAGTAACCTCAGAAAACCTAAGGGGGGCCCCTGAGTCGCAGTCATCATAATAAGAATAAGTGATTTTAACAAGGGTACACGTTCGTGCATAAAATACGTTTATATGTTTTCCAAAGTTCACAATCTCTAACTGCACAACTTAATAGGGCCTTCGCTTCCCCGGTAAGCAAGTTGACACAAAGCAACAAGTACCCATTTCATGGCAAGTCTACTGCGGGCTCGTCGCTGCCAGGGCTGGACACCAATTGAAAGTGTTGCGCAGGGCCGGGGAACTCGATTCTGGGTTGGTGGATTCATAGCCTGGCGGTGCTCGCATATCCCCACAAGCGCGCCAAAACAGCCACGTTCTTGCAAGTACATTACGGATTCTTCGGTGCGAGACGGAGATTAACTCAGAAGTTTCAGGGAAAACGTTGTCACCACCACACCTCTCCATCACTTCCTTTCCGCCCGTATCGCAATCGAGATTCAACCGAGTTCTGCTATCACGGTCTCAGGGTCACCATCTGGTGGCGACGGTGAGAATCTAGCGACCTCTGGACGCCACTCAAAGAGCCTGCGTGAGTAACTTTCCCTCCTCTATCCTGCGTACGAGTCCCACCCATCACAATCTTCACTCGCCGATTAAGTATATGGTACTTTCACCGCTACGTTCTATTCAAACATCCGAATTGCTTAAATGATCCTGGCGCAGAGTTGCTAGCATCCCATGCATTCAGAAGTTGTACGTCTCTTCTCTCGTTGCTTAGTCTCACTCTCTCCGCAGGGGTCACGCCTGCTTCACTCAGGCCCTAACGCTCAAGATGATCTCTGCTCTTCTGAGTGATTTGTGCGGTCCATTAAAAAATACTTGGCCTGCGAGTGCAATCCGCCTGTTGACCTCTCTTCACAATCTCCCTCCGCATGTTGGACAGAATCACTACCGAATCACAAAAACTTCTGTAGAACCCCTCCACATCCCTCTCTTCTCACTGACACCGCACCTCCAATTAGCCCCCACATCTCTGATTAGCACGGTTGGTTACGTACGGTGTGAAACATGTTCAACATACATACATATTATTATAATGCAGGTTTACCCAGGAAAGCATCATTGAGTCTCAATAGTCTCTTTAGGAGGGTCCTGCCAAATTTTCGCAATAGGGGGCAATGCTACTGGTGTGCGCGTGTGTGTCTCATCCCAATCCAGTCGTTTTCAGGTATTGGAATGTTTGGCCAATAGCATTTACATTGCACTTGTTTTCTTTAGCTATGGGAGGAAACTGGAGCGTGGAGGAAACCCATTGCAGAACAGGAGTAGAGAACACACACTCCACAAAGAAAGGCGCCAGAGTTGACAATCAAACTCAGGCCCTGCTTGCTGTGAGGCACAAGTGGTGTGCCACCCTGCTGCGAGAAAGCCATCCCTCATCACCGCCATCGACAAAGCTTTCGGAAAGTTCAACGTAAAGCTGCTGCTGCAGAGTCTGGCCCTGTTGACTCGGAGCAACGCGCCCATTGTGCCTGCCTCCCCCAATGCATGTCGCGCGCCGCGGACGAGCTGGAGAGCTCAACAAAAACACGCTGATAAAGTGAAACCAGCCACTCTAACGGGACACTGCGCTTCCTGCTCGCCGGCGGTTTTGTTGAAATCTCCGAGTCCCTTGAACAGGCGCGATTAGCGGACGGCCTCTGGAGCACATGCAGCGCCAACAATAATCCCGTCGAGCACGGCCCGCAAACGGGAACAACGCTATCGCATCCTTCCCGGAGAAATCATCGCGCTCCTCAGCACCACCAGTCTGCCAACGCGACACTTCCTCCATCACGAGGGGCGAGATTCGCTCACTGCCTGAGCAACCGTGTGGACAGAACCAGGCCCAGCTGGTCCACCACCTTTGTCTTCCCAGCGCTGATTTGGTGGCGCCACGGTGGTGAGATGTTAACTATCTCGCCTGGTATACAGGAGGTCGTGAGTTCGATCCCGACCCTGACGCCTGTATATTTGGAGTTTATATGTTATCACTGTGGTCGCGTTGATTTTTCTCTCCATACTGTATTTGGCTACTGCTATAAATTTCCACGTGATAAGCCACTTCGTTGAGCTATCATTTGTGACCAGGTCACTTGTGAAAAAAACACCTCTATATCTCAGTGGGCCTTACCTGGTAAAATAAAATCTAGTATGAGTAGTTTACTTTTATGTTCACTACCATATGTTCACTACCATCTGTGCAAGGTGCTTATTTAAGGATAAGTCAACCTCGGCGAGCTCTCTGTGCAAAACCGCCGTACCGCCGCTCCCCACGCAGTGTGCAGAGGTGTGTGTCGTCTGCGTTTTATACGCGTACATGTGTTTGTGCAGGTGTGTGTGTGTGCATATGTGTATGTACGTATACACACGCTTGTGTGTTTAGCCACCCGATGCTTACAACAATGAGCAAGAGCGCCGGGTGACAAAAACACGGCGAGTTGGCATGGTGGGGAATGCAGGTGATGCATCTGCTAGTGATATCGTTTAACACGCAACATCTGGATCTGCCCCGTGACCTTGTGCCAGCGAGGCTTTGTCCACTTCGCGTGGCTTTAAAGTGCACTAAACTTGGCCCAATTGCCATGAAGACATAGCCACCACCCCATTGGCTGTTGCACTTCTTCAGTGAAGGAATAGAAAAAGTACGCAAACTCTGTCCTGAAGCCCTCTCGTGGCAAGCAGACCTCGACATTGGAATTTAGCTCCTGTTGTGGGGCAGAGACACGGCCCAGCGGTAGCATGTTTGTCACTTGCAGCGGACCGCTCGATTATTACTGCGGGGGTATTAACCATAACAACACTGCAGGTGCTCTTCTTGGTTCTTTCGGTAAAGTCACGTAGAAGGGAAATAATAAAATAATAAAAATAAAACATAATAAAATAAAATTCTCACGTCTGAAAAACAGCGTCGCTATTTTTCAGACAGCTCTGTTCTTCACCGGAAGACGGCTGCTTGTGTTGTGGCCGAAACATCGTGAGAATTTTATTTTATGTTTCATTTTTATCATTTGATTATTTCCTTATACGTGACATTTTCCGAAAGAACCAAGAAGATGAATCCCTGCAGTCACGAAAGCTTTAAATAGAAAAAACTGCATGTGCTGTTTGCTTCGCAGTGGACATTAAAGATCCCGTGACAGTGTTCACAAGAGTAGTGTGCCGAAGTTGGGGTAAAATATCTTCCATGAGTTAATTAATTGAATTTCACACAGCGACAATCATTGACCCCGACTGGCAGACTAACCACCCCAGGTGACTCTTACACACAAGCCTCATCCTGGTCTTTTGAGTTCTCACCTGGTTGAAACAAAACACTATTCAACCTTGTTGTATGCAAGACTGCGTACCCTGTGCGTGTGTGCGTGTGTGCGTGTGTGCTTTACCTTCTCCAGCAAAGCCTTCACCTCCCACTCTTGCCTCTGTTTCTTGCTGCGCAGAGGATTGGCCTCCATCGCGTCGAAGTTGGGCTCACCCGCTCCTGCACGCCGCACGCAAACACAATTACCATCAGCGGGCACCCATTAAGGCCGGAGAGAAGTTACGGAGGCTGGCTTGACGGACACACGGCCAATCGCGTCTCCCGAGTGCGAATAATGATGAGGAAACACCACGCCGGGTAGTCATTTAAGGCTGAGATGACCTAGGGCAGCCACAGGCCACTGGCGATGTGCGTGGCCAGGTATAGCCCTTGAGCCCAGACCAGATATTGCTCTTGTCGGTACCACCAGAGGTGACGTAACTTTTGAAGATCCAATTTCTACGCGACTAATAATAGTGAATTTTGTGGGAACCATTTGAAATAAATGGGTCAACATATAATTCAGCCATATTAGCCAAATCAATCAATCTGTGCGACAAGAGTTTTGCTACCTTAAGTGGTGACGAATTAAGGTCTGGCCCATGGACTAGCACTGAACCTGACAGGTACGGGTTTACAATGCCGTGCACTAACCCACCTCTGATTAGTACGGTTGGCTACGTACGGTGTGAAAGAGGTTCAACATACGCACTTTACTCCAGCGATCCCCCATAGACATGCGTGTATGCACATACACGATACTTCAGAGGGGGCCGGTGAAGATGCTGTAGCATAGCACAACAATGTATGCACTGTAACCTAGGCCTAGGGCTACACCCCAAGCACCTGCTCAGTCATCGGAGGTCAGATTCATGAACCCGCCCCAACAACACCTTGTTACCATTAACTGAAGGTGACTCTGGATGACCAGGGAAACCTACCGGGCACCAGGAGGCTCGTGAAGCCATTCCCATGGCCGAGACCAAGTACGTCTTCGTAGGGGCAAAACTTGAGCGAGTGAGCGTGGTGAGGAGAGACGTGCGTCAGGTAGGGCCGGCCCACACCAAGGTGCGTGTCCTTGTAGACCTGCAAAGACAAAGATCCCCCGTACAGCCTGACACAGGCCAGTTGGGACAAGTGCTGCGAGCACCTATTTAGGCCGGCAATGCACACAACGAGGGGGGGGGGTGTGTGGCAGAGCACCGCTCCCGGCTGCCTTTGTCTCCCTAGTCCTGTTTTATACACTGCATCAAGTACTAATTCACAGGCTCAGTCAACCTATGGGTGGCCCAGGTCCAGTTCAGATGTTAGTCATTGATCTTTGCTATCTAACATTGGCTATTAGGTTTTGAGCACAGCACGCTAACCACTGCACCACCACTCAACCCAAATACAGCTGCTCAGACACAGACGCAAACAATTTAGGAGACGAAAGTGGACCGCACCAAGCGTCACTGACAGCACCAGTGTGCTGTCAACGGGTTCCTTCACAAAGCATCTAGTGCCCCCTTGTGATAAGATTGGTTCAGATCATTCACCACTCATGCAAGCCACTGCTCGTAATCCAACTGAGGCCTCCGGGTTAATAGCACAGTGCGTTAACTACAAAACCACCACTTCACGCACAAAGACAAAGATCCCCTGTCTAGCCTTAACAGACTGTTGGGGTTAAGTGCTATTAGTGAGCACTTATACCCATTGCACAAGCACACGTGCACACGGGCGGAGGGGGCGAGCGAACGGGAATGGACGCACGCGCACCTGTACAACGTTGCCGCAGGTGGCGGCCAGCAGTGAGCGGTGGCTGAAGTCCAGGTTGGAGGCGCCCGAGCTGAGGACGTACGAGTGCAGAGGCCTGAAAGTGCGCACGTCCCACACTCGCAGCTTGTGGTCCAGCCCCGACGTCGCCATGTACCTGGGAACGGCACAGGGAGGGGGATGGGTACCTTTTCTAAACTGAGCGATATATGTATGTTGATCTTCTTTCGCACTGTACGTAGCCAACCTTGCTAATCGGAGATGTGGGGAGTGGTGGTGCAGCGGTTAGCGTGCTGCGCTACGAACCCAGCAGGCAGAGTTCGATTCCCGCTCACGGCCACCAACACCCGTGACGATTATCTGAATTGGTCCTAGGCCTCCCCTAGGTCGACTCAGCCTCAAATGAGTACCTGGTGTGGTGTATAAATATCACCTCCGGGGAAACAAAGGCGGCCGGGTGTGGTACTGACCAGCCACCCCCTCATGTGCCATGCCAGCCTTCATAGGTGCTGCTCGCTAACAGCACTCGCCCCAACAGTTCGCTAAGGCTATTTTGGGGATCTTTGTGTTTGCGTGCGTGCGTGCATACGTACGTGCCGGTGCGTTCCACGGCGATGGAGCGCACGGCTCCACGGTGGCACATCATCTTGACGAGCGGCTCCTTCATCGTGGGGCTCCACATAGTCACGTAGCCTGCGACCACACCGGCAACAGCGCCGTCAGCACACGGGAGGCAGGGGGCCCCGTGGAGACACGGCACACGCCCCTCACGCGCCTCGCCCCAATGGAGGGGACTTGGCCAAACATCCCGATGTAGAAACGCAGAGCTTGGGCAACTGTTGGTGGCGACGGTGGTGGCTGCGTTTCCGCTCGAGTGTGCGATATGCCACGCCTCTGTATATTCTAAGGAAATCTGGGCAGCGTGTTCCAAGTTTGTAACCGTAATTTGAAAGCAATAAACGTCGTCAGAAGACATGTAAACATGTATGGCCCTCGTGCCATTCCACTGCTGGATGAGGACGTGTCCATGCCGTGCAGGTCATGGGGGTTATTTGACCAGACCTCACCACGCAGGTTGAAGGTGGTGAGTGAAGCTATTGGGAGCATAGGACAGTACAACAATGATTTTGTTGCACTATCCTCTGCTCTGCACCACTTAATGGTTTAAAAAAGAGGGAATGGTCTTGACCAATGCCAGAATAATGGAACGTTTAGAGCCATGCGCCTATTCGGTTTCTGGACCAGTGTTTTCCCGCTGCATTTGTTTAATAAGGCAAACTCCGGGCTGCTTTTTACTTCCATGGTACTTATCGGCAGTGTGCGGTGTCCTGGTCAGTGTGGTGTGGTGGTGAGCGTGCAGTGTGGTGCTAAGAGTGCGGTGTGGTGTTGAGCGTGTGGTGTGGTAGTGCCCATGTCGTGTGTGGTGAGGGTGAGTGCGGTGTGCTGGTGACCCCTTGTGGTGTGGTAGTGCCCGTGTAGTGTGTGGTGATCAAGTGGTGTGCTGGTGAGTGTGCGGTGTGGTGGTGAGCACGTGGTGTGCTGGTGAGCGTGGGAGGTATGCGGTGAGCGTACGGTGTGGTTTGTGAGCGTGTGGTTTGTGAGCGTGTGGTGTGGTTTGTGAGCGTGTGGTGTGGTTTGTGAGCGTGTGGTGTGGTTTGTGAGCGTGTGGTGAGGTTTGTGAGCGTGTGGTGTGGTTTGTGAGCGTGTGGTGTGGTTTGTGAGCGTGTGGTGTGGTTTGTGAGCGTGTGGTGTGGTTTGTGAGCGTGTGGTGTGGTTTGTGAGCGTGTGGTGTGGTTTGTGAGCGTGTGGTGAGGTTTGTGAGCGTGTGGTGAGGTTTGTGAGCGTGTGGCTGCACCATTGTGGTGACCCAGGTTCACGATGGCATTGGATGGGTTCGTGCACATGGCCTGAAGGCTGCCCCCTTTGGTGTTGATCGTCGAGATCTCCTTCCCGATGCTCACGTCCAGGTACTGTAAGTACCCCGTAGAGCTCTGCTCAACACACACCACACAACGAAATGACAAACATCCCAAGTTAAAATGGTAAAGTGCTGTTAGCAAGCACCAATGAAGGCCGACAAGGCATGCAAAGTCGCATGAATGGTAATTTTTAGTTTTTTATATGGTGCCCCATATACCAGGGCATCTCAGGGCACTCGCCATCACATCTCATCTGAATTTGAAAGAGCACCCCCTCAGTGGAAGCTTTCCATGTGGGCACAAGGTGACTGGCCTGCAAACGGGCATTCGTCTGCCAGTAGAGGGCGATTATTGCTGCTGTGTTGAGCGATTTGTGGCATAAACTTAAAATATGGACCTTTTTTATTACCTGCAAATTACTCCATTGGGATTATTATTATTCAATCAATATTGCGTTCAACAAGATACCCACACACCGTGCAAGGTCAAGTCTAGTTTATTTGCTTCAGGAAAGTGTCAAAGGCAAGAGCGGCCTGGGTCGGTGGGTTATTAAGCTTAGAGTGTCAAGCTACAACTTCGAGCGATCACGTCGAGAAGTACAACAGCTTTATCAGGGTCAGCCATTGCTTTGCGTGTCGGGCCACAGGCGTTTTCATAAAAGATCATATTCTTTAGTTGCATGCAAATGGGAGGTGGAACAGGTGACAATGCGTGGTGATGTTTGGGTGCTTGCGTGGATTAACGGTGGCTAGCATGGCCTCGCGTGATGTGATGTTGTATGGCTAGGCGTGGTTTGGTGTAATTTGTAACGTGATTAGTGTGGCGTGGCCTGGCATGGCATAGTGTGGTGGAATGCGGCATGGCATGGCCTAGCACGCCGTGCCTTGGGCATCATACAACTTGGCATGGTATGGATCGGCGTGGCATGCTGTGATTTGGCGCGATGTGGAGTGGCGTGGCACAGTGCGGCATGAGATGGCGTGCTACCGCGGTGGCCAGCAGGAAGTGGTAGGGCAGGAACTCCATGCGGGTGACGTTGTGGAAGCGCTTGAGGCAGTGCAGCTCGATGCCCTGCGAGTCGTACACGTACACCCAGTGCAGCTGAGCCACGGCGAACATCGACTCCGTGTGCAGCCACCTGCACTCCGACGCAGTCACAACAACAGCACGCTCATCACCCGGTGATCCGGAGCGAACGTAGGGAAGGTGCTGTTAGCGAGCACCTCTTAAGGAAAACAACAGCAGCACGATCATCACCCAGGTGCTGCTCGCAATAAACTATTAATGATGGTACAGGAAGGGAGTGGTGTGGCCAGCCCAAGGCCTCTTTATTTTCACAGTGGTGATGTTTACATGTTTGCGCCGGGTATTCATTTCAGACTGAGTTGACCTAGGGGAGGCCCGCGACTGCTGCTGATATAATTTGCGACTGATGTTTCCCCACTGCCGATGCTGCCCATCTGTTTTTTTTTCCAATCCGAAAAGGTGATTTCATTTCAATGTGTGAACGTATAGAGAGTATGGCAGACAACCCAGCATTCACCGGTGTGCATGTTAGATTTAGCTCTAAAATTAATGCGCGTTTAATAACGGCGACGGAGTTATATTTGATCCTGACATGCCACCATCACCACTCCTTTATTGGCACCTAAATCAAAACAATCGCTTGTTAATATGTACACCCAGTTCAGTGGCCTTTATGTGACCAGGAAAGAGCCCAGCGAGACAACAGGAAACTTTACACAAGTGACGCACATGAGCACAGGTGTGAGAGAAAGATGCAATCAAACTTGAGTGAGAATCAGTTTCTTTTATGGGTTAAGACTGGACAGGTATAATAATCTCAAATGAGAGCTGTCAACCCTTCACCACCTGACAAGAGCCACACAACTTGAGCTGCCATGTGGGCAAAATGTGACAATTGATTGAGTTTTTCATAAAAGAATGGTTCTGTTGAAAAATAGAACAAAAATATGTAAATTACACGCTTTTATTTAACTCACTCTGTCTGTTGTCGTATCCTCAAATCTTGTAACTCAATTTAAACCCACTTCCCAATGTTGTATCGACTGCAAACTTGGTATATGTCATACTGGTGACAACACTATATTCTATCATAAAAAAAAAATTACATGTTTCGGCTTGCGTCTAATTGTCCACGCTCAACTGACGTTGGCTGTAAATCACCACGGTGCCTTACGTTATGGCAAGCTTCGGGGCCACTTCCTGGAGTCGTGGAGTTCCGCCATTACTCGTACGGTACATTTCATTAAAGCGTGTTTTTAAAAGTATTTTTAAATATTACTTCTTTTTTTACCATTTAGTTTATTTTTCAACATAACCGGTTGCTGACAAATAAAATAAATTGGCACATTCCCACGTGACACTTTGTTTCATTGGCTCTGTCAGGTGGTGGAGGGTATAGCTGAAAATTGGCATGAAATCTTAACGGTGATGAAGTAAATATGAATGGTAGTGTAGTGGCCAGCGCGCTGTGATACCAACCTGGCAACCCGAGTTTAAATTCCGCTCAGGACCAATAAAAGTGGCGAATATCTGGTCCCTAGGTCAATTAGGTCTACTCAGCCTTAAATGTGTATCCAGTGCTGTGTGTAAAACATCACCACTGGGGAGACACAAGCAGCCGGGCGTGGTGTTGGCCACCCACTCTAATCGTGTGCTGTGCCGGCGGCCTTCATAGGTGCTCGCTAGCAGCACTTGCCCAACCAGTCTGTTGAAGGCTACAGGGGGGAACTTTGTTTGGGCGTGCGAGTGAACGTACTTGATGTCCTTGACCGTCTCCATGACGTTCATCTCGCACATCAGGGACTTGGTGACCCAGTCAAACGCAGCCACGTGGCCCCGTGTACCGCCCAGCAGCAGGTGCCTGGACAACAGCGCAACACAGTTACAATAAAGTACAATACGTTACAGTACAATACGTTACAGTACAATATATTACAATGCAATGTAATATAGTACAATACGTTACAATGCAATATAGAACAATACGTTACAATACAGCACAATACAATATCGTACAATACGTTATAATGTTGCAAATCAATACAATAGGTTATGATTTGATACATTACAATACAATGTTGCAATTCGGTAGATTGCAATACAATAGGTTGCATTTCCATGCAACACGTTAAAATTCGATACAAATCACAATACAATTTACCATGAAATAAGTGTTTTTACAACGTACAATTCAATGCAAAAGTTTACAATACAACATAATACATTACAAAACAACACAAGACATCACGATAAAATATGTTACAATACAGAATAAAATATTCTAAACCAGCAGTAACGAGCGGCTCACTATCAGAAGGTGGTGAGTTCAAAATATGGTTAGGAGTTGACTCAGCCCATCATCCCTCTGAGGTTAATAAAACTAATACCACTTTGTGTGGAAGTCAACAGTGGTTGTTCCATGGGGAAACTCACCCCCATCACAGGAATGTGGAATTTCCACCACAGGCTCAGGGCTATAAACAGGAGATGATCACTGCCTCAATGCTCTTTTGAGCAAGAAATGACTTGAAAATTTTAATACACTCAGTGACATGTTCAGCTGTTCAATCTAGATTCGAAGTTTTCGTGACTGCAGGGATCCATACTTTTTGGTATCCAAAGAGTATGTACAGCTGCTTTGTAAATCCACTGTTGAATAAGGGCCTCCCCACACTGTGCAAGTTGTGGGGGTTATTTAACCATACTTTACAAAGTGAGCCAGCGCGGGTTGGTGAAGGCGGGGATCATAGATGCGGGAGCGTAGGGGTAACAGCAGCGTGCTCACAACTTGACCTCCAAGGTCTGCGAATACAGTCTCATCACCGCCTTCGTCTGGTTTTAGGTCTTCTCCTCTCCCTGGTCACGGGCGTCTGGGTGCCACTCCAATGCCCGTCCCAATAACCTGCCCACCCCCTCCATTCTACACATGTCCGACTGATCACCACCTTTTAATCCCTATTACAATAACTGAAGTGCAATTATCTTTACACGGGGGTGCCTGCGAGTGAATGTTTATATTTACATTGTGTCATTCACGCAATTGCACATCACATTCGCTGAGGAACCACAGACAAGCTGGAAGGCCACCAGGCGGTGAGCTGGTGCCAACAATTGCCCAAGCTCTTCAGATCCTCTATATATTCAGATGTTCATCCAAATAATCAGCGTTTATACATGTGGGAGAAAACCCACGCGTGCAAGGGGGCAACACTATCCCATATATAGAAGGGACAGATGATGCTCGTTCCCATATTGCTGGACCGCCTCCCTCCTGCGAAGCCAGGGTATGGTACCACCTGGAAGCCCACGGGAAGGGAGTTTCACAACATTCTGGCCATCCACCAAACCTCATGCGCAGGAAAGAGAAACGGAGGCATACCGGCCAGTGGCTGTGTAATCCACTCGATAGGGCCCGAACTGGTTCAGGTCCAATTCGAAACTCTGTGAAGGGGAGAGCAGCAGGACACACAGACACGCGTACACCCACACGCACTTAAATGCACATAGAACAAAACAAAGATCCCCTTTGTAGCCTTAATAGATTGTTGGGGCAAGAGGTGTTAGCGAATACCGATGAAGGCCGGCACGGCGCACGAGGGGGTGGGTAGCCAGCACCACGCCCGGCCGCCTTTTTCTCCCTAGTTGCAATGATTACACACCAAACCAGGTACTCATTTGTGGCCGAGTCAACCTTGGGGGGACTAGGACCGGTTCAGATAATCGTCACTAGTCTTGGCAAATCGCCCGATGATGCTAGATGTAATTGCCAGCGAAACACTCACATTGAAAATGTTGTGGATTTACTCTCCAACACATCGGTGGGCTGAAATAGTAACTATTTGGCGTTTTGTTTACGTAACAAATCCCTTACTAATTGGCTGTGTCGGGTGGTGGAGGGTTACGACACATTTATACTTACGCGATATAACCCAAAAACCTTTATTATGAGTAATATTGGTCGCGAAACCCTAGGTGTTAAACTCGGATCAGAGGGTTCATAGTCAAGCGTGCTATCCGCTGCACCGCCGCTCCCCACTATGTGAATACAAGCGCATGCATGCGCACACAAGCAACTCAGTACCTTGCTGGCACTGGTGATGTCCACCGCCTCCTGGATGTCCCTCTGTGTGACGTACGACGTCTCCTCGCCCTCGTCCGGCTCTATGAACCTGTGGACATCATTGCATCTTTATTTATCCTGGAGGAATCCGACAAGGTACGACTCTTTTTAACAGATGTCCACTAGGACATCATTAAGGAATAAAACAGGATTTCTCCACAAATCTGGCTGTCCGCCTGATGATGCTAGTTGTAAATATTGGCATGTTCTGTTTACGGGACAAACCTTACAAATTGGCTGTGTCAAGTGTTGGCGGGTTTAACGACACATTTATATTTACGCGATCTAACCCAAAAAAAAAACTATATTATGGAAGACATCATTGCACCCCACATTCACTGGCCTTCCATAAACACACGGAAGAAATAAGGTAACATTCTGGAATCGAAACTGCCTTACTTTAATTTGTTAGTGAGAGCAATGTTCAATTACCCTGGCCACCTGAGTTCGATGCCCAGTCAATAACAGCAGTGTATACAGGAGTTTGATTCCCAGCCAATGATAACATCACTTGCTATGTGATTTCTTCACCCGGTCATGGCTAACATCAGTAGCGTGTGACAACTGTTTGATATGTTGAAAACACCACCAGTAGCTAGTTCTTATGTATTGGACCCAGGCCTCCCCTATATCTACTGCAAAGATCTTGGGACTTTCTGTGTGTATGTGTGCATGCGTGCTTGTCACAGCAGTCTCTCCAGTTGACAAGCAATCTCTGATCAACTGGAGTGCGATGCTGCAGGGTCCTCACCCTTGCGTTTCAGGCAACAGCAGGTCACACCGTGCCGTCTGCTGGCTCGCTGAGCTCTGCATTCTTGGTAGCGCGCGTCACCAACTCTCGCAACGCCCCGGGCTGCCGTCCTTTCTGCACCACACCGCCCGTGTTAGACACGCCGTGAGTTCACGTGCCACACACATACGTATCTAGTCCACTGCCAAAGCAAACGATGCGTGGCACATAACACTCGACATAAAACACAGTCTGCATTACAGAGCAGCACAACACACGATGCACACACACAGTCTGCGTCACAACAGGAGCACAACACGCGACACACGCACACAGCCAGCGTCACATAGGAGCACAACACGCGACACACGCACACAGCCAGCGTCACATAGGAGCAGAACACATGATGCACGAACACACTGGGTACACGCACCAGTTGAAACTTCTCTCCACGCTGGTACCGCTTCACTCTCGCCTCTGGCAGGGGAGCAGGACCAAAGAACACGTCCTTTGACTGAGAGATGAGAAGGAAGACAAAGGCGGTGGGGTCACACCAAGGGGTCGTGTTAGTACATTGCAATCTGAATCATGACTATATAAAACACATTATTCACAACCCTATCTCAACCAATTGCTTCAGAGCCCTGGGATTTGATCCAACTTCACCACGCTGGTCAAAGAGGGTTGATAAAGGCGGCCCCAGAACTGGTTCACAGATCAATCATCACTAGTGTGCCATGGCCGGAACCAAACTCAGGTCTCCATGTTTACAGCACAGTGCGCTAATCTCAGCACTACCTGCACCACCCACAACCATAATACTTAGCGCCCTGAGAACGATTGTTTAAGGGCGTTTTATTAATTTAAATATTATACTATTATTAAAAATAATCTATTCCTGAGTTTCCTGGCTAGCTGCTGGCTGGGCTCCTCCACCTCAACAATAACTTTATTGTTAGTGGCTGTGGGCTGTTGCCACACAAACTATCTGGGTAACTGGCTAAACGAGTCTTTTCCCATGTAACAATTAAACATTGAATTGGGCGGAAGTCGGAAGACATATATTCGATAGTGACAACGAAGAGGTGGGAGGAATGAACACAGAAGACAGACATGGTTTATTCAAAATTTCTCTAACTTTTAAATGTTGTGCTCCTAGTAACGCAATTATTTCGTCAGGATATTATTTAAGTCCTAAAGAAGAAAAAAAGGCACAATACATATTAGCTTGGCTTTTTAGAAAATAATAAAGCAGATTACTTTTGAGTGCTTCCGAGTACACGAATGTGATAAGAGTATGAACATGTCAGCTGTCTCTTATTTTCTATTGCAGAGCAACAGGTTCTCTACTCGTGAATGTACAAATATGTACATGGGATGTCTGTGTGTGAGGGGTTAAAAGTTCAAATGGAGCCAGATTATGGCCGAGTTAGGAGTATGCATCTCCACGAGATACGAGGTAATTCAGAACAAGTGAAAGTGAACCCAGGATTCTCTGATTGTGGACTGGTTTTAAGAAATACACAAAAAACAAATATCCCCATATAGCCTTCCACAGACTGTTGCAGCATTTTCAAGCCAACACAGCACGCGAGGGGGTGGTGCGGCCAACACCACCCTTCAACCCCTTTGTCTCTCTAGTGCTAATGTTTACACAGCGCGCCAAGTGCTTACTTCAGGCTGAGTCGACCTAACGAAGAGCCATGACTAGTTCCGATATCACTTCCAGCTCATATTAGAAATGGCCAGGAATAAAACTCAGGTTGCTGGATTGCTAGTCCAGTGCAATAACCACTGTTCCCCACACACTTGATGTCATAAAGTCAAAGCGTCTCCCTGGTCAAACAAATATGGGGCGGCATTTATCTCTGTTATTGGCAATGAGCCAGTGGTGTAAATTCCGTGCCGCCATACCAAAGACCAGTCTCTCCATCAGACAATCACTTTTCTAAAATTGGAATACATTTTTTATCAAACTTGGAGGGATAATGGACTGGGCCGACCGCCGACCAGGAATTAAATTGTCAACCTTCAGAGTGCGAGTAATGCACTCTGCCACAGTGCCCTGCCACAGCACCTCTAACGAAATTTGAAGAATTCTGTTGAAGCTTACTCTTAACTAATGTCGAGCTGTGGAAAAACACGAGGCGCCTGGAGGTGATTTAAACAGGCACAGACTCAGAACAGGAGTTCCTAACCAAAGTGAAGAAGGACTTTATATTAGTTCACGTAAACAAGCTGCAGTCGGTTAGGATAAGGTCACATCAGGTGCGATCAGTTCACGAGATAATCAGGTTTTAAGCGAATCGACGCTCTTGTAAACACACAGCTAACGAGGAACACTGCTATTCGTGTACACTTGCCTGCTGTGCAATAAGGCTCGCATTGTATACAAATGTGGGTTTTTATGTGGGTGACTGCTACACACAGCGGAGGGCAAAGGAGCGACGCTAACAACGAGAGCACCAGGCGGTTAAAACACAGAAGGTTCGCACAGGTGGTGCATCTGCCAATCATCTCAGTGAGTCAACCCATGCAACTTGGGCTTATCCCATGACCTGCCAGCAAGTTTTCACGTGGCCTCAAGTTCCACCTAGCCTGGTAACGTTACCGCCACATAGTGGCAAAGTGCGGTTGTTGTAGCTGCTGTATAAGTAAGATTAATGGGAGATGCTATTGTACTTTTCATCAATGAGAGAACACAAAATTGAGAAATCAGAAAAGTGAATGTTTTGGAAACAAATGCAGGCACCTACAGGAAGCAATTCAAATCTACTCCAACATATGGGTACACATTTTAACTCTTATTACAATTAGTTGAACACCGTTCTTGGGCATCTTTGGGTTTTTTTTGTCTGGCACAATGTTTTAGATGTTTAGTATACGCAGTATTTTTATTATTTGTATATATTTTTTATGCAGCAAAATGTTTTTCGTACCTTGATTTTTTTTACCATCTCCAACCAAGGCCTTCCTTACACAAGAGGCCAGAGTGTTTCTCACCTGCTTTTAAACAAAACATTAATTGTGTAACTGAAGCGCCCTTATGGACCGCCCTGCTGCTACTCACCTTGGCGGATTGCGAAAACCGATGTTGCTTCACTATATTTTCAACCTTCCGTCTCTCGGGCTTCTCTCCCTCGCTCCGTTGTAGAGGAGTCTTGTTGATCTTCACATCTTCAAATTTTTCAGGCTCCCAGTACCGCTTGGCTGGTTTCTTCTGCAAAGTGGGATACATGTACATATGTATGTTGAACTTTCACAGCGTATGGAGCCAACTGTGCTCATCAGAGGTGCGGGGGAAGGACAAAAATCTAAACACAAAAAGCAGATATAAATAAATTATTTTTCAATCTAGATTTTAAAATGCATAGCTCCAGTGGCTTCCTAATATCGTAAAAAAGAGCATTACAGACGTCCACAGAAGCGCATCTCAAAGCGACAACTGCAGTGATCGTCTTTGTTTGACGATTAGCCAAAAACCGCTGACAGGATGACTGGCGTTCGCGTGATGGTTTATGATCCTTGATGAGATCTGCAAGGTATTGTGGTTCGTTTGTGGCAAGCACTTGGTGTGTAATGAGTGCTACCTTTTCATGTATTCATTCAGCAAACGGAAGACATGAGAAGAGCACATGAAGTCCATTTGCTGGGTGTGGTGCCACACACTGCATATGCACCGTTAAATGTGCATAAATAGTGAATAGGCCACACTTTACAACTGGGGAAAAAGGTTAACTGTACCAGAACGTAACCCAGCAACATGTGTTTAAAGTATTTGGTTGCTATACATTTCCACGTGATAAGCCACTTCGTTAAGCTATTATGCGTGGCCAGGTCGCTTCTTAAAAATAGCTATATAGCTCAGTGGGTCTTACCTGGCAAAAAAAGCGTTTAGTTTAGAGCCCTAAACTAAACACAAGCGAATAGAGCGAATAGAAACAAAATTAACCGCTGCTCTGCATGCGTGGAAAAATTTGTTAGCGCTCGCTGGTTACTCTTTGGAAACTTCATAGTTTACGACCAATGAGTTTAGACAGGTATTTTACATCGTTCTAGGCTACCATATGAATTTTAATGTTACCGTAGTTATTTTATATTGACAGAACCATGCTTGAGTATTAACTAATGACCCTCGTGTATGATGTAATATCACACATTTATAAATTACCCTCGGTTGAGAAGCACTGCTCTGGAGAATACGGTATCAATCTTGACTTTTTTTAACTCCTGATGACGATTGCTTGTTTTGCGATCGAAACGTCGTGATATTTTTTTATTAACTTTATTTTATTTTTTATAACTTTATTGTTAATTTTACGTGACTTTACCGAAAGACCCAAAGAATATGAATACGGTATCAATCAGGCGATCTGTACAGTATTGCAAACGTGAGTATTCTTTCCTCTGTGCGTCTTCTCCAGGCACGCCAGTTTCTTTCCAAACACATACTTATTTTTTTTAAAGGGCCAAACATCAAGCAAGCATCTCAATAAAGCTTTAAATAAAAAGAAACCCATATAATTGTTACTAACGACTACTGTGCCATACACGAACGCTACGGGCTCCGATTAGGCCGTGCGGCCCTCACGCCACCGTCCTGGCCTAGCGCAACTCCGCCGTACCCCCCTCGCGCTCCCTGGCCGAAGCAGCTAGCCGAGACCGGTACGCGGCGACCCAGCGAGGCCTCACTGCGGTTTAAATCGGCACCGCGGCGCCGATTTAAGCAGCGAGCAGCGTTCGGCTCGCGTGCGGCGTGCGGAGCTGCGGGAGTCTCGGCGCGGCTCCTCTCTCACCTTCCCCGTCGCCGCGGGCTTCGGCTTCGGCTCCGGCGCGTTCGCCTCGTCCGCATGTTTGCCGTGCGTCGCCATGCTCGCCTACCCACGTGTGAAGCGAAGTGGCGCGCGTGACGTCATCGCGGCGGTTCCGACACGCGCGCGTGACGTCATGCGACGAAGTTTGAGAGTTGTGACGTCACGTCGCGTGTCAATCAATGGAACAAAGTACTGTCATACCAACTACAGGATATATTTTTCGATTTAAAGCTTTCGTGACTGCAGGGATTCATATTTTTGGTTCTTTCGGTAAAGTCACGTAGAAGGGAAACAATAAAACAAATACAATTAAATTCTCACGACGTTTCAAGCCAATTCCACATTTTTAAAAAACTACGATGTAAGGCCCATTAAGCTATACGGACTGTACAGCTCTTTCTTTTTGGAAGCGACATGGCTATCACAAATTACAGCTCAACGAAGAACTTTATCATCACGTGGAAACGTATAGCAGCGACATACTATAAACGCATGTTGATGCTAAATGTGCAGTGGGGGGACGGAGGACCCGGAGAAAAATCCACACGACCGCGGGGAGAACATACAAACTACAACTATGCAGGTGCCAGGGTCGGGATCGAACCCATGCGCTCCTGCACACCAGGCGAGGGAGCTATCATCTCGCCACCGCGGCACCATCCCCATGCAAAGGGGTTTGCAACCGAAATAACAAGAGCCATTTTTCTCGAATTCGTAAAAAACAAAAACTTCAAAGCAAGTGGTCGTCAATAAAACACATTCCTGCAGAGGGAGCTGGTGTGAAACGTTGGGTTGCTCGGTCAATGACCAGGGTCAACGGCGGCGTGGTGTATTCCGCAAATATGCCCGACTGTGAGGGCGGGCACAAGCCGGCGTGAGTAGGTTAAACGTTTTATAAGGGCACCACGGGGTGACCAGCCCCTCCCCACCTAGCTCCACCCCTCCCCACCCAGCCCCTCCCACCCTCCCCACCCAGCCCCTCCCCACCCTCCCCACCCAGCCCCTCCCCACCCAGCCCCTCACTCCCCACCCAGCCCCTCCCTGCACGACGGACACAATAATCCCCTGTGGGCTGGTGTAACCAGGAGGTTCCTACCAGTATAACGTCACGAAGCAGCAACCCTTAAAGATCCGCTTGCAGCTCCGAAGTCATCAGCGTCCCTTTACACTCATTCAGCGATGGGAGGCGCTGTACTTCTACAACTGGTAGCTGTGAGCCAGCGATGCAGGGGTCCAGTGGCGTCCAGCGCAGTGATGTCTCTCTTTCACAAGACAACCGCTGCTGACTCCAACACGGCGTGTCGCAGCAGAGCCATGGAGGTGCTTATCTTGCAAACCACGGATGCACATTTAACATCACACGTAACACAAATAAATATCACAAGCGGTGTTTCAAGCAATGACTCTTCTTCATAGCACACACACACACGAAAAAGGGCCATTGCTCAGAACGTCGCCTATGATATGTATATTTCTGGCAGTGTTGTTGACGAATGTTCTTTTTTAAGTTTGAAAAGGATTGGCCAAATATTTTGGCCGAGTACCTGCAAAGGAATGCGTACGTCGATACATCTGTACAGAAGGCAGGAATATCAGGGTTCTCTGGCTGCTTGGAACATTCCAGCATGATCTGGCACCAGATCCAAATGGCCAAGGTGGAGAAAAGGGACCTCCATGTAGTCTTCCTCGACCTCGCCAATGCATTTGGCTCTGTGCCCCATGAACTCCTGTGGTCTGCCTTCAGATTTTTCCACATACCGGACACCATCACAACCCTGGTGAAGTCGTACTTTCAGGATCTGCAGTTCTGCTTCACCACCTCAGAGTTCACCACCTCATGGCAATGCCTGAATGTAGGTATAATGGCGGGATGTACCATTTCTCCATTGGCATTCATAATGGCAATGGAGGTTATCATCAGATCCTCAAAATGGGTTGCTGGTGGACAGCGAGTCGACTCTGGTTGTCGCCTCCCTCCACTCAGAGCCTACATGGACGACATTACAACATTGACCACCACTGTCCCATGCACCAGGAGACTGCTCAGAAAACTCGAGGAGAACATCAGCTGGGCCCGTATGAAGATTAAACCATCCAAGTCACGCAGCATCTCGATTGTGAAGGGAGTACTCTGTGACCTGAAATTCTTCATCGGAGATGACCAAATCCCAACAGTGTCTGAGCAGCCGGTAAAAAGCCTTGGAAGGTGGTATGATTCAAGCCTGAAGGACAAAGACCAGGTGCAACAGCTGCGCAAAGACATCAGTAGTAGCCTCCAGTCCATCGACAACACCCAGCTACCTGGAAAGTTAAAGGCTTGGTGTCTGCAGTTTGGTCTCCTACCCCGGGTGTTGTGGCCCCTAGCAGTGTATGAGGTTCCAATCTCAACAGTGGAGAAGATGGAAAGAGGAGTCACAGGCTACTTAAAGAAGTGGCTCGGAGTTCCACGATGCCTTACCACCATAGGCCTCTATGGAGATGGTGTCCTCAAGCTGCCCCTCACCAGTCTAACCGAGGAATTCAAGTGTGCAAAAACCAGGCTCCAGATGACACTGAATGAATCTCGAGACCCAGTGGTGAGCAACAACGCGCCGACCTTGGCAACTGGGCGCAAATGGAGGCCAGGAAAAGCAGTCCAGGAGGCAACAGCAGCCCTGAGACATGCTGACATTGTGGGTCATGTTCAGCAAGGGAGAGGAGGCTTTGGACTAACTAGCCGTGCTGCTTGGAGTAAGGCCACTGCACCAGAGCGGCGGAAGATGGTAGTGCAGGAAGTACGCCATCAGGAGGAGGCTGCAAGGTGGGCCAAGGCAGTCTCTCTTGCCAAACAGGGACAGTGGACTCGATGGGACAGTGTGGAGAAGAGGAAGATCAGCTGGAAGGATCTGTGGGCCATGGAAGCGAGGCGGTTGAGCTTTTCCATCAGAGCAACATATGACGTCCTTCCAACACCAGTTAATCTTCACCAATGGTATGGTGAAGATCCGGACTGTGCCCTCTGTTCCATGCCAGCCAACCTCAGGCACATTCTCACAGGGTGTAAAACAAGCCTCACCCAAGGACGCTATACTTGGTGTCACAACCAAGTCCTTAAAAACCTTGCATCCGCCCTGGAGGACAAGCGAACTGCCACCAACTCCCTACCACCCCCAGCAGCATCACACCCCTTACGGACGACCTTTGTCCGCGAAGAGGCTAAACCACCAAAGAGCGGCTCTACACCAATAGAGCGAGACCAGCTGCGCTTGGCCCGCGACTGGAAAATGCTAGCTGACATTGGCCGGCAACTTGTGTTTCCTCCGGAGATCGCAACCACCACCCTAAGACCTGACATGGTGCTCTGGTCCCGTTCGCTCAAGAAGGTCTTCATCATTGAGCTCACAGTACCCTGGGAGGACTCAGTAGATGAGGCTTATGAACGAAAACATCTGCGCTATGCCGATCTAGCTGCTGAAGCACGGCATCATGGCTGGAACACAGAAGTCCGACCAGTGGAGGTGGGCTGCAGAGGTTTTGTGGCAACATCTACAACCAGACTGCTTAGAGACCTGGGAATTAAGGGCCAGAGCCAGCGTTCGGCAATCAGAGCTGTATCGGAGGCGGCAGAAGGCAGCAGTCAGTGGCTCTGGATGAAGAGGAAAGACCCCAGCTGGGCCCCAAAGTGAGAGGGCCAGGAGGTATGCAGTCAACAATGCTTGACTCAGGGATGAGGACGCCCCTGCCATGCATAGTCCCATGGGATGTTGGCTATCAACAACAAGGCAACTCCTATGACTAATTGGGAATGGGACGCAAGCGTAGGATTGATCACCCTGTCGCTGGCCGCCTTTGGGGAGGGTGTATAGTATGAAAGGCCGAAACACCCTAGGACCCAAAGGTTCACTACTGACGATGCGCTCCCCAAATTTCACCAGGCTCACTGTTCATGAACTCTTGGAAGTGCTTGCACAAAGGATAATAACATCTCATCCTGTGTTCTTTGGAATCTGAATATCTGGACTTGTCCAGTGACTGCTGAGAAAGATCAGCTGACAACAGGGGAAAGTCCTTGTGGCGGCACGGAGAGACGGCTGACAGGAGGGAATAGACCCCACTGGGACAGTCATGGGTTAGCTTCCCATTTCTGTAGTTTCCCATGCTTCGCAGTATGTTGGAAACACCCGCTCTAGCTACAGAAAGTCAACATACGAGAATACCCCTAGAGTCTGCGAGAGCGGGGGCGGAAGATGACTCATCGACTGACAACATGGTAACGACTGGACCGGAAACGACTACGAGTAATGAGAGCACAGCACAAGAGAACACCACAGCAACTGTCACAAGTTCCGCTGCAACAGCAGGCCACAAACAGATGCAGGTATGTGTCTGTGGTTGGAGGAAAGTTACATCACACCATGGGTTGAGGATCCACCAGGGGAAGAAGGGGTGTTTGGGTAAAGAGAGACAGAGGCCTCGCATTGATTACTTTCTGCGAAAGCGATCAAATCAGTCGAATGAAGCACAGCAACTGGACGCAAACCATAGTTTGCAGTGCATCAGTACCACTGTCATGGAGGACGTAAACTCAAGCACCGAAGTAACAACTGAGGTGGAACCAACAACAGGAGTGGAACTCACCCAGCCTCCCAGACCTGCAGTCGAGAGGAGACTACCTGGGCACAGACCGTATGTGAAGTGGCCTGGCGCCAGTGACAAGAAGTTGTGGGAAACAGTGAATACTGACCTTACCTTGACCCTCGAGAAACTTCGAGGCACAGTGGAGAAGAAGTTGGAGAGGATGGGGGACATCATCTATGAGTACGGGGCAGAAAGCTTTGGAGTGCAAGAGGCAAAAGGCGGGAGAAAGGTTCCAACCCCACCAGTTTCCAGGAGGCAACAAGAAATCAAGCGCCTCGTTCAAGAAAGGAGACAGCTTAAGAAACAGTGGAAGAAAGCCTCTGAAGTGGAAAAGGAGGGCATAGAGGCACTTCAGGCTGACATCAAAACCCGGTTGGCATCCCTCCGTAGAGCAGAGAACCTACGGAAACGCAGAAGGAAGAAAGAACAAACTAGAACTCGATTCTATAAAGATCCCTTCAAGTTCCTTAAAAGTCTCTTCACGAAGGAAAAAAGTGGAGTTCTAAAAACAACAAAGAAAGACCTAGAAG